CAAAAGCAAACAACACATGGGCGTTCTCGCGCGCTTTTGGCAACGCGAAATCCGCCCGCGCGCGAATCAGCGATGCAACCTGGTCCCCCGCATCCGGTACATGGAGCGGAGACTCGTGTGGGCATTTCGTCGTCGCATCTTACCTCGCGAAATGCATCGCGAATTCGTCGACAAAGAAATGAAGAAAGAACTACCGAACTGCGAGCATTCGCAGTATCACACGCGATCGTTCGTCAATCTTCTTAACGACTACAAATTTTGTGATTATTCGCAAAATGTTAGGAGAATTTTTTCTTCAGTTTTGACCTAATTTACACGAAATGAGTATAGGTATCGTCATACACCGTGTGAGAGAACGATTTATCGAATCGAATAAATGTTTCTTTGGAATAGTCCAAGCAAATTATTTGATTGACACAACAAAAATAATATCTTTGGAACTAAGCCGCAAATAAATATTTTTGTTGCATCAAACAAAATTTTGTTCTATCGATCAAAAAATTCGTCTGGACTATTCCAAAGAAGTGTTTATTTGATTCGATCGTTCTCTCTGTCTATGTATATTCTACATTGGAAGTTTAAATATTCTTATTTCACACAAAACGAAAAGAGTTGAGAGTTAGGTACCAATGTTATTGAATACCAGTTAGATACTAAACATTGGTACTTTTACCTTACGGAACTCTGAGATTCGCTGCTCGAGCTGCGGAACGGAGAGCTGCCGACGAACGAAGTCTCAACGCGCGATTATTTCGCGCATGACTGACGAATTAGTGTGTTAAGGTACGTCTAGTTTCTCGATCGAAAGATCGGGGTTACGGGAGCGACGCAGCGGCTCCTCGCTTCTCGTCGTGCTCTGTTCCTGAGCACTCTTTGCGAAATCACTCGACTCGTGCGTCGCTCTCTTAATAACGCGACGTTTGCGCGACAGCCTGACACAAGCGCTCTCTTCTCGCTTGTACGACTACGCGATACAATTATTATATAATAACGAAACGATTAAAGCGCGAATCGGTCGATGGGACACGCGCGTACAGCGAGACATAACAGCGCCAACATCCGAGCGGTAATGGTCGCGTTTAATAGCCGCGCTAAGTCGCGAGAGAGCAGGTGAGAGCGAGAGACCAGAGTCTCTCTTCTTCGGTTTCTTACTACTACTACGAGAGCAAGGGCGCACTTCCACGAAGAGAGCTAACGAGGCGGCGGTCACAGGTAGATACTCGTCTCTAACAGCCGCTCGTAGTAACTCGCCGAGGCAGAGACAGAGCGGAGACGGTGGATGCCGTCTCTCGATAAGCATCTTCGATATGTACAATAACCGAGCGAGTCGGCGGCCGCGCGAGAGTCCGATCTTTCATCGCGTGCCCGGCGAAACCAGCTTCTCGCGATCCATGTGTTACTCTCAACTCCTTCGCGGACCATTGGGCGAGTCCAATGCGGAAATCCATGAAAATTTTCGTCGAGATGATAAATCAAGACGAAGGTGGCGACAAGGACAAGAAAATTTGTTCTCCTTTCATTGGCCGAATCTTTAAGGGGAGCCCACACCTTGACAGAAAGGCAGAAGCCAATCAGTGAACCAGTGCGGTGGTCTACAGTTTCTGCTTTTGCTCCACCTTGCCAAGTGGTTTGAATTCTCCTTTACGTCCGGGTTAATCTAATGGACAACACACACACACCGCTATCTATCGACCAGGCCCATTTCGCGATGAACGTTTCGCTTCGTTAACCGTCGGTGGTTCTCCCATGCGTGAGACAGTGCGTGCCCGCCGCTGGAGAGGAACTCATCGATCATCGGCCGAATGTGCGTCGAGAAGATGAGCTCTCTCTCGAAAGGTTCAAACGTCGCCGCGGCGAGGACCCACTTGACCTTGCTCAGACGTTCGCTGCAGCCTCTGCCGATAGTTAAACAATCTATCTACACGTCTCGTCGCTCAAGGAACGACCGACCGCAAAGGTTTCACCGGAGATTCTACCACCGCTGGTCCCGGGATATCGATACCGTTGCATGCAAAGAAAAAGAGATAACGGAAAATTTCGAGGATGCCTAACGTGCCTAACGTGACTAACGTGTAGCCGTGTCTCGTTAACAACTCGCGGCCACGAAAGTGGTCCAACAGTCAATAGCGGTTTTATCAGCAATAGTCGACACTAATTGCGGTCAAGCTGATTCTTCCGTCCTCCCCCTCTGTTCTACCAGCCTCGTTGGGTCTCGAGATTAAGATAAGTCGGGAGATCGGTGAGATCGATTACCTCTGATAAGGAAACTCGGGAATGCGGATTTCATCGACATTTTGTCGTCCAACGCTTAGGATACTTTTAGTCGCGCTTTCGATCTTGACGTCTGTTTCTTTTCTTTTTCTCGCCAAGTACTCGAAATATCCGAAGGTAGGAACTCGATGGGAAGATGCTGCCACGACTTGTGGTAGAAGCGTCTCTAATTAACGGCGCTGTCAACGTTATGAGAAATCGGATACGAGGCGCAGAGGGAAAGAGAGGTACGAAGCGCGGGAACAACAGTAAGTCCGACAGTTCGTTGGACGACGCGGCGTGAAGAGCCGAAAGCGTAGAAAGCCGAGTCACCACCGGCTTTTACCTAATCACGACAGGGTGAGTCCGGGAGGCATCCCGAGAGGAGCGATCGAGGTATCTCTCTCTCTCTCTCTCTCTCTCTCTCTCTCTCTCTCTCTCTCTCTCTC